CGAGCTTAGCAAATTTGACCATACTTTCGACCAAATCCTGGTTGCCGTCCCTTCCGGGTCGTGGCCTGGGCGGAGCCGCCCGGAAGTGGGCGCAGGTGGCATGGCCGAGGTCGCCGTCGCAACATGCACAAACTTGATCCGACCAGATGTCGTCCCAGGCCATATTGGCATGGATCTCGGGGCTTAGGAAACAGCACAGCAGCGCCAAGATCATCGCCTGCGCGCGGACCCTGTGCGACTCCAACTTCCGACTGCTCGAATGGTATAGCAACCACATTAGCAAGGCCTCCGTCGTGACAGAATACTCGCCGCGGAACCGCCACCGTGCTCTGACGTGCGAGGCGGGACGTCCTCAGGTTCGGGGCCGAAGCCCTCGAAACATCAGCCCCGAATGCTGGGGGTACCTTCCGAGGCCCAGGCACCAAATTGCCGATTCTCCTCGGGTTCGTTGCGCGCCCCCCCCCCCCGCGCATCGTCGCATTACTTGTTCGGGCCCCCTGAGGGCCCCGAGACGAGCAAACCCCAAAACTGGCCCGAGGGGCTCTGGATCCCCATCCGTTCTTTCTACACGTCCAAGACGGCCTTAAGACGGCAGCAAGACGCGCCAGGGGCGCCCCGCGACGATACGAAACCTGAAAGGCCTTCCAAGCGGGCCACAAGATGCAAACACCGCGTCAAATTCTCAGCAGGAAATGATGATTTAATCTACACGGTCCGTCGGCACCACGGCGTCCCAGACGGCCCAGCAAGCTTCCGAGATCGCTCCTAGAGGGCCGACGAGCCCCCCAAGAGAACCCTAAGACTGCCAACGAATACCCCGGGGGGGCGCCCCAGGCGACCCGAGGGTCCAAGAGCGTCCCAAGACGGCCTCACCTGGGGACCAAGAGGGGAAGCCCGAAACGGCGATTCGAGCTCTCTGGCCCAACATGCCCCCAGGAGGCTCCAAGAGGAACCCAAGAGGCCCCAAGCAGCATCCAAACGCGCCGCCATGCCCCCTGGAAAGGCCCCAGAACGGCCCCCAAAAAAAATCCGAAACTGCCTCCAACAGGCCCTGGAAAGCCCTCTCGGGACATCCACTTAAACGTCCAAGAAGCCTACGACCCATAACCCTGGCACGTGGTGGGATGAGCCGGAGGCCGTGAGATGAAAGGTTGTGATTGCGGTGGTGTCGGTTGTCCTCCCTTCTTCACCCTCTCCGCTTCTGCTCTCAGGGACAGGAACGTGTGACGTGCTACAGGCATCTGCAGCGCGTCGGCCAACTGCGCAACATCCAACCTCAAAGCCTGAAAAACCTTGCTCGGCTTGGCCTGTTTCCACCTGTACAATAACACGGGCACGAAGCGACGAAATTCCCAACAACACAGCGGATCTGCCATGCCGACGTATTTCCACGCCTTCGATTCAATAACCACATGGCGCCCAGCGGAATCCACAGCTGACAACTGTCGATCCGCCAGCGCGCCGCTGCGCGCAGGGTGGGAGGTCGCGGGGGCCGTTCGATTTTCCTGCGTCGGTTGGCGCTGGCCCCCTTTTGAACCTGGGGGGGCCCAGATTGTTCGATACTCGGGTGACGCGGGGTTGTCCATCCCGAGCGGTTAGCCCAAGGCATAATTGTCACTTCGCCCACGGGCCCTCGGCAGGGGGGGGCACCGGAACAGGGTGTAAGACCATCCTGAGTTATCTCGGAACCGACGCGACCCACTTCGAAGGCCTAATTTGAAGCACTCGGGCCAAATTGTCCGCCTTGGGATTACTTCGGGGCCGCCCTGGAAGGCGCGTTGAATCATCCAGGGTGATTTGGGAACACTTTTGAAATCATCATGGGGCCAGATCGACCAACACAAATCATCGGGACATGCACCCGGCGGATCACGCCGCGCGCTATTGGAATTTCAGCTGAGCAAACCTGGGAGAACCCATATTTTGGCACGTCACGCAACCGCTCGGATCAGGCAGCTCTCGGCCCAGTTAGCAAGCGCGCCCTGGCCTCGGGACAAACGCCTGCCGCATGCATCGTGGGTGCCTCTTGGGATGCCCCCAGGGCGCTTATTGCTGAGGCCCGCTCGACAGCTTCGGAACCAAACTTCCGATTGACATGCCACATATCCAAAACAACCAAACGCGTACACAAAAACTCGATTATCAATTAAAAACATGGGTTGCACAAGCAGGTGTAATTCGACCTGGCGCACACACGCACACACACACATTGAAACATGCTGCGTCGCCACGCGCACACGCTGATCATGCATGGTCGACAACCTGCACATGAAAAACATTTGGTCGTAACACACGATTGTGCCCGAAAAGACACAACACTGAAGACAAACGAAGGCATTGCATGTTCGGACGACTGCCAACGCACACCCATGTCCTACAAAACATATCTCAAAATAAACACGCACGTCCGAATCTATGTTGGCCCATCAGTTGATGACCGTATATGCTCGATCTGTGAACGTGCACGCATCGACCGTGAACCAATGCAGCTAAGGTAAGCCTGGACACGCATGTCTGCCGGTTTCCCCCCCGAGCGCCCCCGCAGGGAGCTCGACAGCGGAGGGCGCGGAACTACAAGGAACGCATGGCCCACTTGCTTGGCCCAAGCTTGGCCACAAACGTCTCCACGGAAGCACGGGGCGGCGGGGGTTCGCCGCAGGCGCCCTTGATACAGGGCCTCGCGATCGCGAGCGTCGGCGAAAGCCATGCCCAGGATATGTCGGACGAGACGTTTGCGTGACCCTTCACGCCCACCTCGCGCCGAAATGTCTCCGAAATGTAACGACACATCGCACCGCAATCCGTGGCCCCGCACCGCCCACGACTACTTGGGAAACACCTCGCATCCTGAAAACTTGCGCGGTCGAGGACGCCCACTCCGCCCCCTCCGTCCCGCTTCTTCCTCCTCCTCCTCCCCCTACATCCCCCAACCCCCCGTGCCTGCTGTTTTGGAGCGTGGGAAAACCTCGCAAGAACGAGTCACTGCCCCCTTCAACAACATGTGGTTATGCAGTGCATTTCGCGGCGCTTGACGCCGGTGTCAAAATCCTCGTCTTCCTCCACCTCCTCCTTCTCCTCCTCTTCCTCCTCCTCCTGCGCCTCCTTCTCTTTTCCCTCGCTCGGGATTGCCCGCGCGTGCTGTGCCCGCGGCTGGGGGGAAGCCAATGCCCAGTCTGGCCGTGGTTGCATCGATGCACGGGGGGACGGAAGGTGGTTAACAAAGTGTCCCCCCCCCAGCGCGCGGCCTGTCTGTGCGAGTGTTTGCGTGCGTCGTGGGACCCCGGCCCTCGTAAAAAAAAAAAAAAAAAAAAAAAAAAAAAAAAAAAAAAAAAAAAAAAAAAAAAAAAAAAAAAAAAAAAAAAAAAAAAAAAAAAAAAAAAAAAAAAAAAAACAAAAAAAAAAAAAAACGATTCCTGTCCGCTGAAACGCCTGCCCCGCAGTAATCAGGCACCGGTTTGGACGCCAACGGTAGATGGCGCGGCGAAGAGGGGGGCGCGATATGTCCGCTCCACCGTGTCTGCACAAGCAGTGGGCGGATCAGGACAAAGACTGGCCGCAACAAAATGTGAATCTTTTTCTTCCCTGATCCGGCCGATTGGGAACTGGGGAAGCAGAAAACAGGACGGCCATGCGCATGGCCCAACGCGCCCCCCCAAGGCGGTTGCATTTGAACCGCGTTTTCTTCCTCACCCCTGGCCCCGATAGGCAGGCGCCGCCAAAACTCAAGGATAGGCTGGCACGTCGAAATTGCAACCCAACGACGGCTGCACATAAAACAAGCGTTATCCTCACCCTGAACCCCGACGGGCCAGCGCAGCCAAACATCGAGGATCGGCCGGTACATTCGCAATGCTATCTCGGTGCATGTTGAACTGTTTCTGACGCCTGGGGGCTCTGGTCCCCATCTGTCCCCGCCGCGTGGCCGATAGCCTGCAAGCTCTCTAGGCCCAGAGTTGTTTACCGAGTTCCCTCATCCGACCGCCTTTGTTTCCCTTCGGGGGGGCCCTCTTTCCCTACCCCGGCTGGACCTGCCCGCGAGGCTTCGCGGGTCGTTGAGGGCCCCAAGATGGTCTCGACGAGAGCGCGAGCATCACTGTTGCTCACGTAGGTTTGGGGTTACGTTTTGCCTCTTGGGGGGAGGGCGTCGATTAGATGCCCCTCTGAGATCGGGTTCCCCCAATTTGGTCCCAAGATGACACCCAACCTTCCCAAGTGAGCCCCAAGAGGCGCCGAGGAGACGCTCAAGAGGCCACAGGAGGCCCCAAACAGGCTTCCGAGAAAACCCCCAAGCTCCAAGAGGCTCTCCCGAGGCCCCCACGACACCCGCTGCCAAGAGGCATCCGATACGCCCAAAAGGACCCCAGGAACCTTCCGAGAAATATCCAGAAAACCTCTGGCCTTTTCTGCTCGGCCTCCTCCTCCTCCTCCTCCTCCTCCTCCTCCTCCTCCTCTTCCGCATCCTCCTCCTCCTCCTTTTCCTCCTCCTCCTCCTCGTCCTCACCCTCGTCCTGTTCTTCCTGTTCCTCCTCCTCCTCCTCCTCCTCCTCCTCCTCCTTCTCCTCTTCCTCATCCTCCTCATCCTCGCCCTGCCCCGTCTCCTCCTACTCGTCCTCCCCCTCCTATTCGTCATCCGCCTCCTCCTCCTCCTCCTCCTCCTTTCCCTCCTCCTCCTCCAACTCCTCCTTTGCCTCCTACTCCGTCTCCTCCTCCGCCTCCTCTTCCTGCCCCTCCTCCCGTCCCCCTCGCCCCCCCCTCACCCTCCTCCGATTATTCCTCCATCCCCCCCCCATATGGGGCACGGCGGCTTCCCCAGCTTTTCCCCCCAAGCATGCTCCTCCACATCCCTGATCGGGGCAACTCGTTGGGGCATCGTTTCTGGATGGGCTGATGGGGCTACGCGAAGCGCATCGAACACAAAGTAGCCTGTGTAGATGGAGGCAAAACCACGAGGAGGAGGAGGAGGAACTATGAGGGCGAATAAGATGGAGCAAGGATGAAAAAGCGGGGGCAGAACGGCGAAGAGGAGGATATATACATCAGGATCATGGCGACCATGTGGTGGCGATGATGGGGAAAACGAGGCGGCAATGGACCAGCAACGAAGCGAACGCGCAAAGAGGCGGGCGGCCAAACCGTAGCCGCGGGCGGCCGCCCAAAAAAACCCAATGGATTGCCGACGACCCTTTTCCCCAGAAGTTTCGCCCTCACAGGGCTGCCCTGGTCACGGCGCTGACAGCTAGACCTACGCCTCGGCACCTCAAGAGTCTCCCGCGGACACTCATGCCCCTAAGAGGTGCCCGAGCCCAAACGGTGGCAACCGAAGCTAGCGCGGTAAGAACCGCTGCCGACTGAACCTGAGGCGTTGCGCAAAAACTGACACATCCCAGCCTGGACCGTAGGCCAGGACGTGCCAAGGCAAAGAGACAGCCCCTCACTGCCCCTTGTCCTCCTCCTTGGGCGGCACGAAAGATGCCTCGTCGAAGGCCCCCAGGGCGGCCGAATCCTTTGCGGAGAGCTCGGCGGGACGGGCACCACCGTCGCTCTCGTCCTCGGGCTGCCAAACTGCTGGGCGCGACCCCACGTGGCCCCCCATGGCCCCCCCCCCGCCAAAAAATGCAAACATCACGGCAATCAGCGCTCATGCGAGCACAGAGGCTGGCGCGCACTGCCGCGCGCTAGTCAAAAAACTGTTTCCCATTGCAAATCGGGCGGCTCCGTCTACAAACAGAAACCGTGGGCTCGGCGGCATGCTCTGGGGGCCTCAAAAAGCACGTGGGCGGGGGGGGCAGGCTGCGTTCGACCGTGGGATCCTCGGCTCTGTCCACGCCGTCAGGTGGAAGCACTGGGGCGGCAAAGGCGCCAGCTAGTGGCGATGCAACCTCGGCCACCTGCTCGGGAAGGGCAGCGATCTCCACCTCTGCCTTCTCCTCGCCGCCCTGCTTCCCCGACTTCGCATCGCAGGCGGCCGCGGCAGGCTCGATCGATGGCGATGCCAGCCCAAGCCTCGCAATCTTCGCTGGGGGGGGGCGACGAGGCCGCAACGCCCAACGGCGCCGCCCTCCTGGCAGTCGGCCTGCCGCAAGGGGCCGGCGCAGGAACGTGCGGTGATAAGGGTGGCGTCGCCTGTGCGCATGCCGCTGTCATCGGCGAGCGCGCCTGCGACGGCGAAGCCTGGCGATTGATCGTGGCGCCCGAATTCCCCAGCGACTGGCCCTCGCCTGCGTCGACGAAGATCTGCATGCAGTTCATCCGCTCAACCTTGCCGGAAGGCTTCGTATACACCAATACAGCCCTCGCCCTGCTGAAGTTCATGTCGACGGTCACGGGTGAGCCGTCTTTGATGTCAAGGGCGATCTGGACCTTCACATTCGCATACTTTTCCAGCAACTCGTAAATCTGATCCTTCACAAGTGCGGCTGAAAAGAACCCAAGAGACTCCCAATCGAAAGGCGGAGCGACATTCATCAAGATCCTGCCGCGCTGCTGATTCTCCTGGTTGACCCGCTCAGAGATGAGATGCAGCTTGTTCTCGCCGATGTTGTCGCTCCGAGTGAAACCAGATATCGCTTCGAGGATCTCCAACATGAGGTCTCTCTGTGGTTCCCTGGCCCCTTGTTTCGTTAACGCCTTGAGGGAAAATGGACTGAGAGAAACAGGCTCGGCGCGCGACAGCAACCACTTCATATACTTAGGTGGGATTGACCCCCATGTGCCGAAGTTCCGGTGCAAAACTACATTGCCGATCTCTTCGGCATCGTCCTCTTTGCTGCCAGCGCCGCCCTCCGTCTTGACGGGGGTGCCCGCCTTGTCATCAAGTTCCTCCTTGACGCCTAAGGCCTTCGGGGGGCGATAATCAGGATTATCCTCGCCAGAGGCGGTCAGAATGCCCAAGTTAATCATCCTCTTTTTCATCTCAACGACAAGCTCGTAATGATCCTTCAACTTGGCAACCACAAGCATGTACTCGGCCTTCCTCTCCAAAGCAATACCCTTCTCCTGCAATTTCTTCGCGCGATCCTGGGCCGAGATCTTCGGAGCCATACTCCGGCAAGCGACGCAGGGCACCGCGAGCAGAGAAAGCTAGAGCTTAAAATAGCTGCGGATGCCAGAAGGCAAAGCAATCGCAGAGTGAACCAGATAACACCAGAGCTTGCGAGGCAAAAGGGCCACAGACGCAAGGACGGGAAGGGCGATGCGGAAAAGGGGGGAAAGAGAGAACCATGGCAAAACACGTGTAGTGAACAGCATATTGTTCGACATGTTCCCTGCGTCACGCGAACATGGATCGAGCGCATCTGCCGCGTCCCCCAGCTTCTACTGCCTCCCCCGCTCCTCCTCCTCCCCTGTTCCCCAGACAGTGCTTGCACTGAGACGTCCCACTTGCGTTCCAAAAAACTGGGTCGCGTGCCTCGATCGATGCCTAGTGCTGCAGGGTTTCGCCCACTGGGCCCCGCCTCGAAGGGCCGCGCCCGGCATGTCGCCCGAGTCAGCAGGAGTACCGAACGAAAGAGTTAGCATGAGAGCGGAGGGACTGTAGCACGCCATGTTGACGGCCCTTGGGAGGGCCCAGCGAGATTGTCGTTCGGGGTGCGCTGTGTTTGCTTGTTTGCTTGCTGTTGGGGAACTCAATAAATGACGCATCGGGGCCGTCTTGGGGCCTTATGGAAAGACTCCAGGGCGTGTTCTGGCGGGCCACCTTGCGCCCCCAGGCGCGACGTGGGGGCCGTGACGGGGCCCCCAAAATGGCAGCAAGAGGGCTGCGAATAAGGAATCATTATGTGTTTCCTCTCAAGCGTCCTGCGTGCTTCCTGGGAAGCACTCTGGGGGTTCTCTCGGATATTACGGGGCCGCCATGGAGCATCTCGGGGGCCGCGTGAGAGGCCCGAAAGGTCCGAAGAGGGCCGCAGCGGACATAATGTGGAATTGCTCAAAACGGGCTTCTCAAGCAAGCCAGTCGGTCGTTTATGCGGCCCGCTGGGGCCGCCAGGCGGGAACTGTGAGAACTTTCCGTTGAAAGCCCCTTGGACTTTCGATGCGCGCACTGCGGTGCGAAAGAAAGCCCTGCGTCATATCGAAGATGACGCCAATATGTGTGTATACAACGTTTTTCCTCTTGAGCGTAGTCAATGTTTCCTTGGGCACCGTCGGGGCATGGGGGGCCTCCAAGGCTGTCTGAAACGCGTGGCCGTCTCGAGATCTCCGCGGGCCGCAAAACATGTCATGTGAAAGCCCTCTTGCGCAGGTTGCCCCAGTGTCCAGAGAGCGCACCAAGAATGTTCAGTTGAGCCCCGCACGGCCCGCCAAGGAGCCACAATATTCCCCCGAGCAGGTGGACAGGAGCCACCTCGTGGACATCTCAAATTTACGGAATCGGGGGCCACCTTGGGAACCTTTGTTCAAGGCACGCACGGTCAATCGGTAAACAATCCGACTGCGCCGCACGTTGCGCAACCTGCTACGATGTTGGATTCGATGCCACAAGCTGCGCCATTGGTTGCGCCATTTGTTCGCGTCATGGGAGCGCCGGCGGCTGCGCAAATGATTGCACTCGCAAATGCGCCATGGGTTGGGCCATGGGTTACGCCCTCAGCCACCAAAGCTTTCAGTGGACCACTCTTGGCTGCGATGTGGGCTGCGCCATGTGGCGCCGAACAATCAAACTACCACGAACGCGCAGCGACTTCAGCCACTCAGTCTGTCAGACCGCACGTTGCGATCACCCCCTGGGAACAACAATGCCGAACGACGTTCGATATATTACAAACAGGGCAATGGGGCGTATCACTCAGGCGCGCTGGGGAGCTCGCAATTCGTGGCTTGCCAGCGGGAAGAAGGAAGGAACCCAGGTGAGCGGCGCCATCCCCCCGCCCCTCCCTCCCCCATGCCCCCCCCTCCCCCCGCCGCCCCCCTCTCCGCCACCCTGCTCTCGTTTCGAAACGCGCGTCGATTGAGGCCGCGGTCGGGCCCGCAGCCGAACGGGGGGGAGAAGGGGAAAGGAGGGGGAGGAGGGACAAGCACAGGAGGAGCAAGGGAATGAAGATGAAGAGGGGGAACGAAGAGGATAAGGAAACGCGAAGAGGGAGGAGGGGACAATACATCAACGCATTTGATGTCACAACATGGGGGCGGGGCGGGGAGGGAACCCAACCCACACCGTCGCTCGCGAAACCAACGTTTTATCATGTTCACCATGTTTTCAAGATCCGAACGAATGCGAGCGTAGCGACGATGTGCTATTATCGCACGACGCGCGTCTCCTGCATGAACTATTGCATGTACTATTGCGTACAACTTCTGTGACCCCTTTTGTAAAGACCCCCATAGCCCGACTCTGATCTTCGCCCTCCTCCCCTTCCCCCCCGGAAAAACTCTTTTTCCCGGCAAACTCGACTTTTTCCCGGCAAACTGGACTGTTTCCCGGCGATCCGTTTCAGAAGCATTTAAAGCTTTTGAAAAGCTTTACAGAGTTCCCTCCGACGACGGACCCTGGAACCTCCGACGCGGCCGCCTTGGGGCCTCCTTAGGCCCCCTTGGGGCCTCCTGAGGCCATCTTGGGGCCTCCTTAGGCCCCCTTGGGGCCTCCTTAGGCCCCCTTGGGGCCTCCTGAGGCCATCTTGGGGCCTCCTTAGGCCCCCTTGGGGCCTCCTGAGGCCATCTTGGGGCCTCCTGAGGAGCCGCTTGGGGCCCCCTGAGGCCTTCTTGGGGCCTCCTGAGGAGCCGCTTGGGGCCCCCTGAGGCTGTCTTGCGGTCTCCTGAGGAGCCGCTTGGGGCTCCTGAGGCTGTCTTGCGGTCTCCAGAGGAGCCGCTTGGGGCCTCCTGAGGCTGTCTTGCGGTCTCCTGAGGAGCCGCTTGGGGCCTCCTGAGGAGCCGCTTGGGGCCTCCTGCGGCTGTCTTGCGGTCTCCTGAGGAGCCTCTTGGGGTCTCCTGAGGAGCCTCTTGGGGCCTCCTGAGGAGGTATCAGGGTATATGGGGTTATCAGGGTAAGGGGTTACAAGGGTTAGAGGGGTCACAGGGGTTTGGGGGATTAGAGGGGGGGTCAAAGGGGTTAGAGTGGTTAGAGGGGTTACAGTGGTTAGAGTGGCCTTGCGCCATCGCTGCGTGTTTCAGAATGGAGCGGTGGGGAACCGAAAGCGCGAGAATCTCAAATTCTGGACCACTCGAGGCATGTCGGCAGTATGCCTCAAGTGGTACCGAAGAAGTACGTCTTGAGGCATGTCCGTTGTATGCCTCAAGCAGTACCGATCAGGTATCACTTGAGGCATGTCGGCAATATGCCTCAAGTGGTACCCAATGTATGTGTGTCGGGATCTCGTGTTACGCCTTTCGGGGGTCTTTGGGAGGCAGTTTTGAAGCCTCTTGGGGGCCGTTTTAGGGCCTCTGGGAGTCTGTTTGGGGCCTCATGGGGGCTTCTTGGGGGCTGCTTGGGGCTTCTTGGGGGCCTCTTGGGGGCCTCTTTGGGGCCTCTGGGGGCCTCTTGGGGCACTCTTGGGCCCCCCTGGGGCTCCTGGGGGCGGAAAGTTTGATTTTTTGAGTTTTTTGTCGCCCTCTTGGACCCCTCTTGGTGCCGTCTTGGAGCCCTCTTGGGCCGTCTTGGAGCCCTCTTGGGCCGTCTTGGGGCCGTCTTGGGCCGTCTTGGGGCCGTCTTGGGGTTCTCTTGGGCCCTCTTGGGGCCGTTTTGGGGGCCTCTTGGGCCGTCTCAGAGCGTCGGGAAGCCGAAAAGGCGAGAAAGCAAAAAACATAGAAAAACACAATGGGAAATCAACAATGTTAGCCTCTTGGGGCCCTCTTGGGAGGCCTCTTGGGGGCCTCTTGGGCCGTCTTGGAGGCCTCTTGGCCCGTCTTGGGGCCATCTTGGGCGTCTTGGAGCGCTCTTTGGGCGTCTCGGGCCCCTCTTGGGCCGTCTTGGATGCCTCTTGGGGCCCTCTTGGCACGTCTTGGGGCCTTCGTGGGCCCGAAAAAGTCACGCGGCCAGCTGCGACAAGGCCCAAGGCAGCTGCGACAAGGCCCAAGGGAACCGCGACAAGGCCCGGGAGATTTTGCAATTTGGGCTCTGGTGCCCTTAATGATTCCTCAGGAGCGAGGACTCAGGCTCAGGGGACGAGGCAGAGGACCTCAGGAAACGCCCACTCCGTGCCCAGAGGCACGGTGGCGGATAACCAGTAGTACGTCTACCTGGACGGTTTTTGACATCGCTTACGAATACTTCTGCTTTTACTACCACTAATCTTTCCACTACTACAACTACTATTCGTAATCTCACTATCCTTAATACAATCACTCCTAGTAGTACTAATCCACTAACCCTACTACTACTACTACTGCTACTACTACTACTACTACTACTACTACTACTACTACTACTACTACTACTACTACTACTACTATTACTATTACTACTACGACGACTACTACTACTACTACTACTACTACTACTACTACTACTACTACTACTACTACTACTACTACTACTACTACTACTACTACTACTACTACTACTACTACTACCTACTACTACCTACTACTACTACTACTACTACTACTACTACTACTACTACTACTACTACTACTACTACTACTACTACTACTACTACTACTACTACTACTACTACTACTACTACTACTACTACTACTACTACTACTACTACTACTACTACTACTACTACTACTACTACTACTACTACTACTACTACTACTACTACTACTACTACTACTACTACTACTACTACTACTACTACTACTACTACTACTACTACTACTACTACTACTACTACTACTACTACTACTACTACTACTACTACTACTACTACTACTATTACAAACACTTACGAAGCGAGGAGTAGTGCTACGGCGAAGGCCGCACGACACAAGTCAACCACTGGACTCTTTCCCGGCTAGGATCTGCGCAGCGGGAGTTGGAGACCCTTAAGGTGATAGTGGGATTTTCGGAAATCCATGCTTCAAGCTTCCATACAAAAACTAAGCAAACTGGACTCTTTCCCGGCGGAGCGCCGGGGAAAAGTCCAGTTCGCCGGGAAAAAGCCCAGTTTGCCGGGAAAAAGTGGACAACCTTCCCCCCCCCCCCCCCATCAACCCCTTTC